GCCCCCTCCCCAGCTCCTGCTCCACACCAGCCCCCCTGAAAATCTCATCTCCTCCCAGCAGTGTGCGTGGCATGGCTCTGCCTCATCAGCCCCGTGCCCTGCGCTAGCCCCGACCCCCCTCCCTCCTCAGGCTTCTTCATGTGAGAGGAGTTTTTCCCCTCCTCCTTTCCCCTTTCTCCCTCTTCAGCGTTTGCAAACGAAGCTTCCAGATCCACCCGAACACTGCCAGCCTCTCTGGGCACTGCCAGCTCTGGGGAGCACCAAACCTGGCCCTCGACCCCGACCTGCCCCCCGTTTCCCACCCCCTTCCCAGAGGGGACGTTTGCTCCTGGCAGCCAAGGGCATGAAACTTCTCACACCTCCAGGAGGGTGTTTGGGAGGGGTCCCAGCACCGCCAGCACCCCGGGGCTGGGAGTGACCTGAACCCTCCCCAGAGGGAGGTTGGTGCCAAGGTGATATGTGCCCGTATCCTGTGAGATGTGCCCAGTGTACCCCCCCTTTGCCTGCTCAAAGGCCCTAAATCCACCAGAATTAACTCATCCCAGCATCGAGCCAGGGCCTGATGAGATTTCCAGGGGGCAGAGCACAGAATCCTTGAACCCCTAAGGTTGGAAAACATCTCTGAGACCACCAAGCCCAACATCAACCTGACAGCACCCACATCCAAAAAAAGATCAGGGAGGAGATTCAGCCAAGGGGAGAGGAACAAGGGGGAAAAAAAAAACACCCTGCCCACATCCCAATCTCTCCAAACTTCCCCAAGCCACAGATCTCTTCCCAGTTGCCTCCTGGCAGTCCCGAGCTGCTATAATAATCCTGAGCACAGGCTCCAGGAGCTTCCAAAGGAGCCAGGGCAAGTTGTCTCCTCCCCCATTAGCCCCTGGAAATTCGTTGCCACCTCACACATCCCTCTCCACCACGGTCCCCTGCTCCTCCAGCTTCGCTCTGGAAGGGCCAGGAGATCTCCAGGATGGGGCTGGGGGGGTTGGTGGTGCTCAGGGAGCTTCACTGTGGTTATTTTTAGGGCCAGCCGAGCTCATGGAGATGGTGGGGGGGAGGTACACGGAGAGGACAACTGCAGCTGGCAGTTTGGATGCTTGGAGAAGTCCAGCATCCCGAGGGAATTCAGGGCTAAAGCCCAACGGGGTCAGTGCCTGCGACAAGGAGAGGAGGAAGGGGACAGCAGCAGGCACGAAATGTGGGCTCTGAATGAAGCAGAGGCACGTTGGGGACGTCTGGCAGCCCCCCCAACCCACGAGACGTCCCCCTAGGAGGGGGCTGAGCCTATCTGCAAGGACAATTTCACCATGCCACCTCTGCAGGCCCCCTCCCCACCTTCCCCAGCACCTCCTCTCTCCCAGGGATGGCTCCAAAACCCACCAGAGAGCAAGAAATAACCCCAGATGCCGAGACATCCGAATTCTCCTCCCAGCAAAAGCCCTTCCCTGGGGAGCGGGGCTGCCCTGGCCAGCAGCCCCCACCCTAGCCCTGTTCTCCTTGCCCCCCCCCAAAAACCAGGGGCACCAAATTCACACCCCCTCCCCAAGGGGAACCCCAAAATCGGCCCTTCCAGGCTGCCCAGCCTGTGGTTGCCAAGGCAACCGCACCATCACCCCGGGAGCCGTCGCCTAGCAACTCCCAGGCTAAAAATCCTCCATCCTGCACCTCACGAAGGGCAGAGAGCCCCCAAACGGGGGGGAAAACCCCCCAAAACGGCAGCAAAGCACAAAAATAA